ACCGTAATCTTCATTTGCTCGTTATATTATCTTAATTTACCTTAAAAATTGGGGGCCAAAAATGAACTTGTCAGCTAACAGGATTAGTCCATTGGCAGGTTTCTAGTGAAGATGCTGTGAACATGGCCCGGCAATTGGCACTGAAGGAGGGTCTCATGGTAGTACAACATTTTTATCATACTAACATTTTTCGAATTCATGGAATAATTACGAAAATCGTCCGAAATATATAGTTACACTTTTCAAATTTTGGCATTTTAAGGTGGGAATTTCATCTGGAGCTAACACAGTTGCAGCTCTTAGACTTGCCAAAAGGCCCGAAAACAAGGGCAAACTCATTGTGGTAAGAAAAAATCACATGAAAGGCTTTGTATCTTCTATCTTGATATATATTTTCGGAAGATATATATTCTTATGCCGATGTTGTGAGTATCCATATTGAATCGACGTTACATTTTGAGTACTTTTTATGTTGATTTTTTTCAGACTGTTCATCCGAGCTTTGGCGAACGATACCTCTCGTCCGTCTTGTTCCAAGAGTTAAGGAGAGAAGCTGAGGAAATGCAGCCTGTTCCAGTTGATTAAAGGCTGTAACAAGATCTGTGGAAGATAGTTTGCCTAAGAATATTTTGAATTTGTTCACTTGGTGTAAGTAATTTGTTGTTCCAATATGTAATAATAAACACAGCATAAAGCATGAATGTCAAAATTTCAATAGTGTTATGGAAAATAAATAGTAAATAAAGGTAGAATAAAGCAAAAATAAGTAAAAATCAAGGTTTTAAATAGCGGACTAAAACGTTTATGGCACTGTAGCTATAGCGGAGCTATAGCGGAGATTTAGCGGGATTTAGCGGCTAAATTGCACATGAATACAAATAGCGGCACGCTGCCAAAAAAAGCTATTTCTCAAATAGCGGCAACTTTAGCGAGCTATTTATTTCCTTGGTAAAAATAAATAAAAATAATGATGACTTGTGAATCAGTTCTAGTGTGACATGAGT